TATGCGATTTGCACTTTTTGAGCAACATATCAAGGGTTTTATCAATATTATTTTTAGTTTGGACAATACATAAACGAGTTTTGTTACTGACTGTGCAAACGGCCTCTTACAGCCACAGTTACGTAGCACCACCTGGTACAACACCGCACCTTCGTGATGTTTTTCAACACCAGAACACGCACCAGTGCTATTTCAAGACACCAGATGTGTATATTATGTCGTACTTTCATAGTGGCCACTGTCTGATGGAAAAATTCCTGCTGGTTCACTTAATAGACGTTATGTTCGGTACTGATATTGCCGGTCCTTATGGGCTCGTAGATGTAAATGCAATTAGTGTATTATTATGCGCGGTCTGATAACTATCCAACAATCTAGATTTACTATTCCATTGCCGTCAAACTGCCAACGTAGCACATGTGGTTAACACATGTACTGTAGTGCGAGATTGAGGGCAAAGAACTGGTAAGTCTAGATTGTTAAATTGGCAGATGACGAGTTCAGTTTAGTGGTACGCAGACATTTCCTGCCTGTGATGCCATGATAAAGGAGTGTCAGTGTTTAGAGGAATACGAAAACGGCTGTAATGAACGATAACTAGCCTGCATTCTTTCCCGCCACGTCCACTCTCTCACCAGCGACTGTCATGTATGCAATCACTGGACATTCTTTGAGTACCCTTGTTTACAGTCTAAAAATTTGCTGCTTCAATCAGTAATACAGCTATTAGAAACTCACCCCTTGTTCATTGTTTTTTTCTATTCCCATATGCATTATGCGAGATTCTTCAAACAGTAACTTTTATTTATTTAGATGTCATAAAATTTTTGACAAAATACCACCAGTGTTTATTGGAGCTGAAACATGAATTGTGATCTCCATTTAAAATAAAACTGCACGCAATTTCAACTTAGTGTGCAATACTTTTTTATCACCTTTTAAACACATGGAAACCTATGCGTACTTTAGAACTTGTTCGAGCTGATCCGTATTGTCTACTTTTTATTGTTTAATGAGCACCTATGTATTTCAGCTATATAAGCTGCGAACTAATAAGTACCAATGTATTAGAAGGGTAATTGTATAGCTGAGCATGAATCTATTTATATGTTAATTTTCGTTTTTCTTCCTCTTAGTGGACCTCTACTTATTTTATTCTATACTGCATTGAAACGACCACTATAGCTACTTTATACTACTGGTATAAAGAACCCTCGCATATGAAATTTTTCGTTTCGGAAAAAGTATCACAGCATATCCACGGAGTGCATGATGATGAGTGGGGCGAAGCGTCCATCCGTCCGTTCGTTCTTGCTTCCATCCCTCCGTGCGTCCGTATATGTGACAGTCCGTGCATCCATCCGTCCGTGCTTTCGCCTGTGTGTCCATGCGTCCATCCTGCGTCCATTCATTCATGCCTCCGTCCGTGCATCTGTCCGTCCATCTAGTGAAAACTCCAAGTACCACCATCTCGTATCTTTCCATGATATATTCAGCACACAAAACTACCGCCATCCAGCGGACATTCCAAGAACTAAACGAGAGGTGGCACTCGCACACTCTCTTACGGCCTGCGCTTCGTGTCTACTTCCCACCTATCACCGCCTCTAGTTCATGGCTCTACACTAGTTCACTATATTCATGGCACTGCGGTCCGATCCTCGCTAAACATTGCTAAAACCAAGGTGGTTGTGCTCAGCAATTTTAACGTGGCCACCCTTTCTGGTCAGATAGCGCTGAAAGTGCGTCCTTCTGATACTAGTTGTATTGCGAGAGGTGGAGAGGGTAGTGTCGCGTGAGGTGGAGAGGGTGAAGCGAGAAAGAGCTGACACGCGGCGAGCGCGTGGCAGGCGAGGGATAGAGGTCACCACGCACTGCTAAGTGGGCGTGAGCTGCTTGGCACCACTCCGACACCTGCGGCGATGGGAGTGGTCTGGACTCAGGGACAGCGTTACACAGGCTAGTCAAAAAGCTGCTTCGCACCTAATATACTTTTGTTGTTTGTTTGAATAATTGAATGATCGATTGATTGATTCACAATACCGTCGCTGTGCCTTCAAGCAGGTGTACACCCTCCTTATGACCTTGATTGATGGATATGTGGGGTTTAACGTCACAAAACCACCACATGATTATGAGAGATGACGTCGTTGAGGGCTCAGGAGATTTCGACTAGCTGGGTTTCATTCTCAGTATGACCTTTCGCCTACGTTGGTGAAAAGTGTTCGCTAGAAGCAAGCAATGGCTCCTGCTAGAGTGTCTCCACGAATCTCAGCGTCGATGACTGTGAAGAAGCAGACGTTCTCTGCATGCAAGCCATCTAGCGGAACGAGGTCTCAAATCACTGTGCATCCACTACCAGCACTTTAACTCTTAGCTGAACGCAACCAGATTGGACATAGTCACATCCATTTTAAATGTCACCGTGTTGGCATATTGCCGGTTACTGTGGAAACTGCGGGTCATCCCCATCATTACATCGTTTGTCCATTATTGTCACTACGAATCATTTCTCCGAAATAGCCGCCAAGCTACCGTTCAAGTTTCTCCTAGTTCTCTGGAACGCGCCTCGTTGTTTGGCTCTATTCGTAAAGTTTTCGTCATGTTCCTCAGAATTTCATAAGGTGAAATGGACTCTTGGTAACTTCCGCTATTGGCTCTTGCCACAGGCCTATTCTTTAACATCTGCCTTCACAGCTCCTGACGTGATGGACGTACTAGGAAAGGAAGCATGCTTTCCCGTAACCTGCTTGTACAACGAGCTTTGCCAAGACATCAGCCTACGTGGATATTTTTATGTCACCAGCAGTTTTCTTAACTCCATTATGAAGAGCGCAACTTGAAAGAGCACCACGACATATTACTATATTGTTGAACTCTTAACAACTTCAAGACTACAACAGGGGTCATTTAATAATTTAAATTGAACTTAGTTTGTGTTACCATTGACTAGCACCTCAGCATTGCGGCAGCTGTCACCAACGCTGAGAGAAACAGGTTGCTGTTTTTCTTTTCATTTCAACCACATAGCCTTCTCTAGCAAATTATTAGAACACAAAATCACCCAAAGAAGTTTACCCTTATTTGAAACTACAGCATTACATCGTGTCGTGCCACGTCTTTTGTTGTACGGCATTATTATTTGAAGTAGTTCCAAAGCAGTGCTTTTCATTTTTACTTGATACCCCGCTGACTTGTGCTCACGGCTTCTAATTAAAGCACACCTACTCCATCCTCTGACATATCAATCGAATGCTTGCTAATTTGCGTGGAAATTGTTAAAAACAAACTTATGTGGGTAACTTATATAATTGGCGGATATTCAAAACGTTGAAATGAACAAAAATGCTAAGAGTAAGCGAGACAGTGTGTCCACTAAGAATTTCTGTCTGAAACAAGGTACATATTGGCCATATAGATATCGCTAAAATATTTGACATTCATCAATAATTGGTTGTTTGTTCAATAATATTTGTATGTGACTGCTTAGTGCGCATATTATAATTTAGGATGACATTACGAATAATTTAGCAAGAGAGAATAAACTTTTTATAACGAGTGCATATACGGGAAGCCACGGTTGGGTGGGGCCTCTAGTCCAGAGCTCTACTGCTTTGCGCGACACTGCGAGGCCGCTGGAACAGCTGCTACTGTTTCTACCGGTGTAATCAGAGCATTGTAGACTCCCAAGAGGAAGGAATAGGTTTGTGAATGGGAGGAATACCCCGTGGAGCACAGCATTCCCACGTAGAGTGGTACACTGCCAGTACAGATCCACAAAAAGGGCAGTAAAAGGGTTGCTGAGCTGGAAGAAAGCGATTTAGCATATATAGGAAAGGAAATGAATTGGTCTGCAGTTGCTGCGAAGCGGCAGCATCTGCTCTGTGAAGGGAAGGATGTGGAGGAGGATATGTATAACCAAGCGAGTTTGAAGAGCACGACAATGAAATCGGTAACATAAAATACAGCTTCTTATACGTTAAGACAGCGTAAACCAAGAAACAGGTAACTTAGAAAAACCATGTGACTTGAAGAAAGTTATGTGTGCCTAGCACCCAAGATCAATAAATTTTGTAATTTTGCCCAGAGAAATAAAAAAACTCTAAAGAACCATAATTGTGTTTCTCTCACGGACGCGCACAACAACAACAACAACAACAACAACAACAACAACAACAACACAACAACAACAACAACAACAACAACAACAACAACAACAACAACAACAACAACAACAACAACAACAACAACAACAACAACAACAACAACAACGACAACAACAACAACAACAACAACAACAACAACAACAACGACGACGACGACGACGACGACGACGACGACAACGACGACAACAACAACTACGACAACAACAACAACAACAAACGTACAAACAAGCAAACGGTGTATTTAATTGATACTGTGTATACAAATATACTTTTCATGGTGTAGTCCTGTCTCCTTTCAATAATAAATATATGCATATCATAACGCTTCTTTTACGTGAGTCAGAAACAGCCGGGTAATTATTGTTGTCATTTAATATTTATATTTAGTGAACCAGGGAAATGAAAGCTACATTGACCTACGAAAGGAAGGTTATATGTTGTCATCTCTTTTTCACAAGGCCCAACTTATTGAGCAGTTACTTTTTAAGCAAAACACGTCCAAAAATGCAAGTCAATACGTAGGTTTGCAATGGAGTCCGTTCCTCCCGAATTAATTATTCTGAAAAACAACTGCTCTGGGCTATTATAGAGGACGAAATTTTGTAACATCAACAGTTAGCGGGAGTTCACTCGTACAAACAGCACGTGCTCCACTGATAACAGTAACATGACCTCACAAACATCGCACCCCACTGTGTTGTTATTACAACCTGCCGGCTTCAGTGACGCCGTTGCAATCCATCTCGTCTGTCCAGATAATTCTCTCTTGAAAGTTCGCGCGTGTGTACGTGCACAAGCGCTTACGCCAGTGCACCTATTACAAAAGCGTGAGCCATTTGAGGATTACTTTATTTGGGCCACTTGCATTGTGTGACGCCCCGTGTTATTCTTTTATGTCGTGTCTTGTTGCATCTGTTAAGACGATTCCTTGCCCGACATGAACCCCGTATAGCGCTTTTTTGCGAAAGGGTTGGGGCCTGCTTTGGCAAAGTGGTTAAGTTTGATTGCCTTTCGGTCGTTGATATATTTATCTCATTGTGTGCTACGGCAGTTACGGAAAGCGGCCGCGGTGGCGGACCACTACACCACCAAAATGTGTTGTTGTTGTGACCTCTAAACTGCTTTCACTGTCAAAATGAAATAACGTAATCTCTACTTTTCGTCATGAAGGTGAAAGGTTGACACCCTGCCCTTAACAAAACCCCTTGGTGTATCTTTTCAGGTGTTTGATAGTTTTGACAGCATCGTCGCCATCTTTGATATAGACAAGGACGGGGATCTCGATTGTTTGAGTGGTGCACGCACATACTACGACAAGCATTCGTCAACCGCTACCTACGTCTGGTTTCTTAAAGGTTTAAATGGCCACAAAGCGTGAGTGATTGTTGTATTTTGCAACTTCGATTCGCTTAATAATGCATTAAAAGCTGTGGTTAAGTACGATGGTATGACATCGGAAATCATCTTATATCGGCTAGTGACTATATCAGACTTGGCCCTTCTGCTCCGAATGACGTATAAGGTCGTCTAAAGGTAGTTCACGAGATTCTCAGCTATGTTGTAAAAGAAGGATAAACTACCGAAAAAACGGCACCTTGTCTTCTAAGCAGCACCCATTTAACATTGTGTTTAATATATATGACGTAGTTAAAAAAACTACGCAATATCCCACTAAATATAACTATGAGTAGCAGGCGAAGCAGCGGATGGGTCGACTTAAAGTTCCGTTCATCACAGGTACCTTGCCCGATGTTAACCAAGGTGAACGATTGGGCCAGTTGGTGAAACATGATCTAAGAGTACTGCGCGGTAGGATACACGGATGAGAAAAAGACAAGGACAAGTGCAGACTTTTTCCCGTCCATGTTTTCTACCGCGTAGTACTCTTAGACCGATGTTAAGGCGTCCTTTCAAGTGGAGCACACCATGAATTCACTGTAGTTTCTGTTGCCGTTACTCGTCCCGAACTCTTGTTGGAGTACATCACGGGGGATTCGCTAGATTCCGTGCTGACCAGTTGTGCCCTCGTGATCTCCGACGACAGCGCTGCTCTGGCCGACTAGGTTGGTCCTACGCCACCTCCTGCCGCCGGTCCCCTACGACGACGACAGCGCATCTCTGGCCGACTAGATTAGCCCTACGCAATCTCCTGTTGCGTGATAGCATATCTTGCGTGATAGCATATCGTCCACTTGTTCTTCAAAGAGTTTCGTTTCCGATTGCGAGACACGGTAAGGCCGACGGCGTATAACACCAGAACCATTGGTTTCAATGTGGTGTACAGCCACGGGAGTGTGGCTAAGTGTGACGACACAGCTGTCGAAGCAGGCCTTATGCTTAGCTAAAAGCGCCAGTAACGCTGTGGACTGTGGAGGTGTTAGATTAGGGCCGATGTGTTAGATTAGTGCGGGGAAGGAGGAAGAACTCGCACCTGACGAGGGCAGTGACGATGGAGACAGGCAAAGTGCTGCGATGGAGGTCAGTGGAGAGGCGTTCATCGTCGCTACAGACATCCCCTTGGGTAACATAATTTATTCTGCAGTTGTGTTGCAAATGGGCAGAAGAACGTGGTCATGAGACAACCGGAGCAGACAAGAGGTGTCGAGAACTCCACAATGGGTGCAGCGCGGAGCAGGGACAACTAGGGCGTCACCATCATCTACTTGGCTAGATGCAACAGCTACCACGTGTTCATGATCAGGGTGCAAAACACAGCCTTCAGCGCCTTCAGTGACTTCAGCATCTTTAGTTGAATACCAATGAAGGCGGATCTGACAGAGATGCTTCCGATGTATCCCCGATGTGAACGACGTGTTCTTTACTTGTTATGACAGCGGAGGCGGAATGCAGGAAGCCCCAACACAGGATAAGTTCATGAACGTACGTGCGTGTCACAATCATTTCGATGTGGGGACGCAAGCCGTCGATGAAAACGCCAGCCATACACTGTCCATCAGGTTGGATGAGTGCGTTATTTGTGCCACGCGACACAGGTCCTACATATGGTGTTCTTACTTTGCGCAGCCACGAGCACAAGACACTACGTATAACAGAAATAGCGGCACCGGAATCAACGAACGCTTGCACAGGAACACCTTTAGTAGTCACTAACAACACGTTAGCCGACAAACCAGGAGGTAGTTTTGATCATCGACTGGACGCAGTTTTCCCTCCAAAAACTGCTACCCTTAGTTTTCTGACTGTTAATCAACAGTGCGGGAAAGGGAGCGAATCGGCGATGCCGAGCGTCAGTAGGGTGATGGAGAGCATCCTATGGAGAAGTGGTAGTCCTGATGTTGACGCGGGGACGCTGGAGGAAACGGAGACTTGTACTGCGTGAAGGAGTAGGACTCTGGAACATAATATTCCGGCCGTCAATAGCGGTCTCACTCGAACTCAGCGTAGCCTCGTCGTTCATCCTGCTGGCGGCGACAGCAGTAACGTGATATGTGGCCTCGGATACCGCAGTAAAAACAAACAGGACAGTACGAACGCACTGAGGATAAGAAGTTGGAGCAGGTACGCCGCATCGCACAGAAGCCGAATGGCCACAAGTAATTGCAGCAGGCCCGAATGTGGTCGCGGAATGCAGAATAGCTGCTATATATGCATATGTGGGCATCAGTGGTTGATCAACCGAAGCTGTCGGAGTCATCACGGAGGCCACATCAGCATATGTGGGCAGCGAGCATGCTGATGGAGCGACCAGCACTCTCGGTGTTGTCCTGGCCACTAACTCCTGCTTCGCAAGATTCCGCAAGTCGAACAGTGCGGATGGAGTTGAGACGGCAGTGAACCGCAGCTATTCCAGGTCTCGAAGTTCTTCACAGATGATCGTGTGGATGGAGGCATAAGGCGGGGATCGCTGTCTTGTTGAAGGCGGAGCGACTGCAACTGATCAAGGTGTTGGCTCATGCTTTAAACTGTAGTGGGACTGTTTACAGCCAAGGCGTTGAATGCAATCGTGCCGATTCCTTTGAGGATGTGGCGAACGCGCTCGGCTTCCGTCGTATTGCTCTTCGCACGGTGACAGAGAGCCAAAACATCCTCGATATACGAAGCGTATGTCTCGTGTGGATGTTGAACCTGCGTTGCCAGCTTCTGTTGTGTGGTTTTGAAACGACCTGACGAGCATCTGAAGATCTTTCGAAGCTTCGTGGTAAAGGTCGACCATTCAACAAACTCAGTTTCGTCGTTGAAATACCACGTTTTGGTTACGCTGGTGAGATAGAATGGGAGATAACGCAATATCTCCGCTTCGGTCCACCAATTGGCTGAACTCACACGGTTGTAAAGGTCGAGCCAGTCCTCGACGTCATCACCGTGGAGGCCTGCGAACATAGGTGGTTCGCGATTAAGGCTGGTGACAGTGGACGAAGGGAGGGTGGCCGTAGGCATTAGTGTGAAAGGGTTAGGGCTAGGTATTGGTTCCGTTGTCGGCATAGCTGTGGGGGTGGCCGAGCGCAATCGGCAACCGGATTGTTGCTCCAGGTGAGGCATGAACGAAGGAGGACGTTGGGATCTTTTCCCGGCACCCACACCACTCTCTGTGACGCAGGAAGACTTCACTAGGCAGGACCAGCAGAAGCGTTTATTCCGGGATGATTGCCTTGGCTCAGAACAGCAACGAAAGAGCCTGTCACGCCCCAGAACTCGGCGCTCGTCAAAAAAGAAGAAGTTGGCATTGGGCCGCGCGGCGGATGCAGCGCAATTATAATAAAAAAATCAGTTCAAAAACTGAACGCTGTCAGGGCTGGAGCTCCGGCAGTTAATGGTGACCCAACAAAGAACACACAACCCGATCACCCCACATGGGTCTCGCCTGCTCTTCCACCAATCCTACCGGTTTGATGCCCAAGAAGACGCCAGACCTAGCAGTGCTGCAGTCACTGCGGTTCACCATGTCAACCTGCCACCATTTTGGCCTAACAGCCTCTGCACATGATTTCTGCAGGTCAAGGCACACTTCCGTCTACGGCAAATCACCAGCAGACAGGCCAGGTACTGGCATCTGGTGTCCTGCTTACCTCCGGATGTAGTCGACGACTTAGCTGATATTTTAGCGTCGCCACACCCGAGCCATCTCTACGACACGTTGAAGACAGCTATCATTTCCCGCATGTCTGAGTCCGAACACAGCAGACTCCAACAGCTCATCACGGCTACAGAGCTCGGTGACCGTCACCCATCACAGCTCCTGCGACGCATGCGCCAGCTTCTTGGCGGCCCCTCCGCCCCCCAAGAGGAGAAGGTGTTACGTGAGTGTTCCTCTAGCGCATGGTCCCGGTACTTGTAGCCGCAGATGTCCCAGTAGACACACTAGCTGAAATGGCTGACCGAGTGGCGGCCTACTCGCGGGCACATATATCCTCAACGCCGTTACCACACCGCCACCGGCCACCGCTGCAGACCCGGCACTCGCGAGCATCGAGAACCGTTTGGACGCCCTTGTCAGGCACCTCGATGACTTTGTACCTGCGCATCGTCGACCGTCACCCAGGTTCTAAACACACGGTCGCTCCCCGACGCCCCCACGTTCTCCTGAATTTCAGCCAACCGACAAGCCGCGGGACGTCTCATTCTCAACCGTTGGCTGGTACCATCGCCAATTCGGTGGCTCTGCTCGCAAGTGCACTCACCCATGTTCCTGGTCGGGGGAATGCGACGACCGGCCAGTAACGGCGGCAAGTGGTACTGGTCGAAAATCATGCCGCCTTTTCTATGTCTCTAGCAAGATCACTGGCGCTTGTTTCCTAGTGGAAACAGGAGCCCCGATTAGCATCATCCCGGCCACGTGTGCAGATCGCCGTCGCAACAAACAGACCTGCCCACTGCAAGTGATCAATAATTCTGCCATTCGCACATACGGCCATTGCTCTATTACACTTTATCTTGGACTATGCCGTACGTTCCGCTGGATTTTCATCCTCGCTGACGTCTCGCAAGCTGTTCTTGGAGCTGACTTCCTCAGTTTTTTTAATCTTGCTGTGGACATGCCTACTCATCGCCTCATAGATCTCAACACCCACCTCTCCATCAAAGTGTACTCTGTACTTCCTCGCCAACGGGAGTGCGAGCTCTCACACCTGCTTCGCCGTATGCAAAAATACTCTCCGATTTTCCCAGCATCACGAAGCCGCACGCCAGAGAGTCGCCGGTGGCGCATTTCATCACTCACCACATTGTGACCACTGGACCTTCCGTTTTTACACGACCCCGTCGACTACCTGGAGAACGCCTCGCCATCGCCCGCCGTGAATTTGAGCACATGCTGGAACTCAGCATTGTGCGGCCTTCCTCCAGCAACTGGGCGCCGTCATTCCACATGGTGCCGAAGAAAGATCCTGGCGACTGGAGACCATGTAAGGATTACC